TGCGGTCAGCAGCGGTTGGCGTGAACTCATAGTGCCTACAAGACTGCATGAATACTTCACGCATTGCGTCAAAAACAGTGCGGTCACTTAGTCAGCAGCAGCGGTCAGCGTGAAACGCATAGCGCCTACAAGACTGTAGGGATACTTCACGCATTGCGCCAAACACAGTGCGGAGTGCGGTTGGCTTGGTGGCGGAAATTAAGCTCATTAGACCACATTCATGTTTATTCTTATTCATAATTTTTTCGTTCTTTTCCTATATATGAAAGGCATCGTCCACACAGAGATAGGTCTACGGAACTCAATTTTCGAGCAAAGTTCCGTGAACTTTTGTTAGTGTTGACAGGGCTTCCACAAAAAAATGTGCCAAACGCGAGTAAACGCGTCTTATGTACCCCTCCTCCTCCGACACGTTCACCTGATGGTTTCTATGGATGTTTCAAAACGAATGAGGTGGGGCGGCAAAATACAGGCGGTTCATTGGCGGCAAGAAGGTAAATCCGGCCCTGTAGAAATTATTGATTTATGAAATCTACGACCAAAATTACATAGGAAATGCTACCTCACATGATGAGACAGAATGAGCATTTTAAAATACCGATTTCCCGGACCCTCTTATTACGGCCGCCATTTTCAATTTTAACTTTTTTGAGGGATATTCCGGGGTCGGGCCATTTTTAACTTTTAGGAAGTTGTTCAGGGGGACCTACTGATGACGATTACATAGGGAAAGTTTGTTACGCAATTTTTCCCGGTCAAACCGCACTTTCCCCCTACTATTATAGCACGATCCTGCTTCTCGAGTCGTACACTTTTTGGAGGATTGTGCAAAATAGTTGGAACTTTTTTTGAAACTGAGGAAGTTCTGATGACATTTGCATCCTCAACACTTGCCTACAGTTCATTTATACCCTCTTTCGACTTATTTTCGTGAAAAATGAGTCTTTTAAACCTCTACTTAGTAAGACCTCGGAAATTCTGAGGACCAAAAAAATAAATACCGAGTTGAGTTTTTCTAGTTCAATTTGATTTTTATCGGTTACAAAGACGTCCTCCTAGTGTAAAATTTCATCCTCTACAAGTCGAGTTCTTTGACATTTTTCTCGTAAACGCACGATTTCAGCGTAAAATCGAGTTTTTTGTACGAAATCGAGGTCTAAACCAAAATATCATAATTTCATCACAAAATTGACCTTTGGCACCATTTAAAATGGTTGAAATTGGCCCAAATTTTGGCAAACATGTTTTTTTACCAAACGTCATCGATTGCCGCCTGGGGAGCGGAACATTTCAGACTTTCATTTTTTTTGACGCACCCTAAGATTCCATCTTTCCCACTCGCATATAGTTCTTTTTGGAAGAAATACGTCCAATTACTTCTGTGGACCAAGTCAGCAAGTACTTTATAAAAAATTTTATGACGCTGTTATGGGTTAATTTCTAGCAGGAGGCAAATATAAGGAGAAATGAAATGTCGGCTTATCGGCGCAAAATGTAGCGCCCCATGAGAAGCATGGGTACGAACTGCTGCATAATTGATTTTTATCCATTTGAAAGAATTCTACTAGCGTTTTGGAGAATGGGTCACTACACGGTGGCAAACTTTCATGAAAAAATAAAATCTTGAAATTTTGCGTGAAATATTTCGTGAGATTTCAGAAATTTATGAATGATATTGAAAAATACCCGTTCGATTTCATAATTCGCGAGACGTAAAAATTGTGACTTCCCTCTATTTTTGTGTGTTTGAGTGCCCTGCATTTGAAAACGCCTTCAAATGCGGCGTGATACCTCACGCATTTCGGAGAGTTCAAATAGTTGTATCATTGCGCCTTAGAAGTGCGACGGAAGATTACAATGGAAATAGCCTTAAACACGCTGGCTTTGTCGATTTCCTTTGACATTTTTGCAGTGGCGAATGCATAGGTAAAGTGCGCTCCAGCTAGAATTGTATTTAGCAAATGAGTGGTTTTTATACGAGGATTAAAAAGAGACAAAAGGTACGGAATATAACAAAAGAATATGAACTAGCAAAACGATAATCCGGGTATCGAAACTTGGCTGTTTTGAAAACGCCTTCAAATGCGGCGTGATACCTCGCGCATTCCGGAGCGTTCAAATAGTTGTATCATTGCGCCTTAGAAATGCGACGGAAGATTACAATGGAAATAGCCTTATAAACGCTTGGCTTTGTCGATTTCCCTTGACATTTTTGCTGTGGTGAATGCATAGCTAAAATGCGCTTCAGCCAGAAGTGTATTCAGCAAATGAGTAATTTTTATAGGAGGATTATAAATGAACAAGTGGTTAGAAATGAAAACAAAAGAATATGAACTACGCAAAACGATAATCCGGGTATCGGAACTTGGCTGTTTTGAAAACGCCTTCAAATGCGGTGAGATACCTCGCGCATTCCGGAGAGTTCAAATAGTTGTATCATTGCGCCTTAGAAATGTGACGGAAGATTACAATGGAAATAACCTTATACACGCTGGCTTTGTTGATTTCTTTTGACATTTTTGCAGTGGTGAATGCATAACTGAAGTGCGCTCCAGCTAGAATTGTATTTAGAATTTAGAATTGTATTATTGCGCCTTAGAAATGCGACGGAAGATTACAATTGAGGACACCGCACCTAGAACAGCCTATAGGCGTCGTATAGGTCGTTATTACGCCCATCTGCTTTTCGGATTCTACGTACCCTTGACTATGCTGTGGTAACGATTGAATATAGATAGGTAACGGCTCGAGGTCGAAAAACCTTTTTTTTTTCCGAGGCAAGTCAGGCCACTGGTTCGATGGGTGCAAGAACGACCTATAAGTGGGCCTATAATCTTGAGGGCCTACAAGGTGCTAGTTACCCCTTTCTTTACTCACTATCGATATTCTTTCATTTTGCGTTAATCATGCGTGATTAAAATGATTTATACATCATATTGCCACCAAAATGACTGTTGGGCGTAATAATAGCATAAAAACCGCTTTTTTTAAATTAAATATATTAGAGTGTAAACCCAAAATGTATCGCAAAATCTACCCGGCATCCTTCAATAGAAGGGCTAGGTCACCCAAAAAAAACCAAAACAGGGTACCTGCATAGAAAAGTCTGCGCAGTGCATCAAAAACAAAACTTTAAATGCGTTTTTCTCAAAACGCGGTTTCAAGTTAAAGGCTGTTCTTGGTGCGGTGTCCTCAATTGGAGGTATCAGCGCTTGAAGTTTCCAAATTTTGTCCGACCTCTCCTATTGACTCAACCCACTGTGCGGCGACGCACAACCGCTGAATGTGAGAGGGCTGAACACTACGCAAAGTGGATCGAGTCAATTAGAGAGGTCGGACATGAAATTTTTAACCGAACTGCAAATTTTGATGTTTAACTCGTCAAATTTTAACGTTTAAGGTATGCTGTTACAAGAAAAATTCGCGAGGCACGGAATATAACAAAAGAATATGAACTATGCAAAACGATAATCCGGGTATCGGAACTTGGCTGATTTGAAAACGCCTTCAAATGCGGCGTGATACCTCACGCATTCCGGAGCGTTCAAATAGTTGTATCATTGCGCCTTAGAAATGCGACGGAAGATTACATTGGAAATAGCCTTGTACACGCTGGCTTTGTCGATTTCCTTTGACGTTTTTGCAGTGGTGAATGCATAGCTAAAATGTGCTCCAGCCAGAAGTGTATTCAGCAAATCACTGTTAGAACCCCAGAGTTTTGTATGAGCGGAATTTCAAGCTTTTAAAGTTTCAAAGTTTCAAAAACCTCTCCAGTTGACCCGATCCACTGTGCGGCGTGACGTGACGAGACGCCTACGTTACGTCAACGATGAGCCTTTTAAAGCTCTGAGCCAAGCCGCGAAACTTCGAGTTGCGTCAAACGCAAGTCGTCACGTCTAGAGTCCCTTCATACTGAGAGTCAAGACTATTTGAATCCATTTCTGATTGGTTCCCGTATTTTAGGCCTCCACAGTGTCACGAACGGGAATAAAGATTACATTTTCACCGATTGCAAAGATTATAATCTGGAATGGACCAGGGAATTACGGGTTCGGCAAGGAACAAACGGAATGAGAGGAGGAACGGAGAAAGGCATTTGAGAATGGGCCGATCAAAGATTACGAAAAACGTTCAATTTCTGTAATCTTTATTCCCGTTTGTGACATCCGTGAGCCGAATTGTCTTGACTCTCAGTATAAAGGGACTCTGGTCACGTCTAGTGGAAATTAGGTCGTAATCACAGCGTCATCACATGTCAGTAAATCCGAAAACTGTCTAAAATGACTTACAGATGGACCGCGTTTAAGCAGGAGGGAACCTCAAGGTTTGCGACGTTGCTTACACGGAAAAAATTAAATTACCGATTTAACAATTCAATTGCTAAAAAAGTGACTGCAACGTTTCAACGTAGATTTTACACCAAAAAAATACTACTTTTACCACTGTTGAGAGGTAATTTTACCACGGGGGGTGGTTAATGTAGCATTTTTTGGTTGTAAAATCTACATTGAAACATTGCAGTCACTTTTTTTTAGCAATTGAATTGTTAAATTAGCAAATTAATTTTTTCCGTGACCCTCTATTAGACTTTATTTTTAGGTGGAAAACTATTCAATGGGGATTCTTAGAAACTGCCCGTATTGTTCCTCTCTGAGCGAAGAAAATTCTGCGAAAATTCCAAGTGATGATGCTGATTTGTTCTCCTTAAAAAAAAATAAAATTCACGATCTGCCAAATCATGGATTGATGGAATTAGGCAGGAAATGAGGAGATGCGATTTGCCGGAGGAGCTCTGGGCGGCTATCGGTGGCGGTTGGGTGTCGCAGAACGCACGAAAGCGCTGTGAGAGCGGCATGTTAATAGTATTAGTAAAAAAATAGAGTAGGAGCGGCGATTTTGAAACACCGCAAACGAGATACGTGGTTTCTGATTGTGCATGGATTTCTACCGTCGATTCTCAAAACACGGGATAAATGCTCCCCGATCCACCCACAATTTAATTTATGTCCATTTAATTTCATTTATTTGGATGCGAGTTAAAAAGTATCACACAGTGGCGCTTATCTCAGTTACTTAAAGAAAAGATTCTCGCCTTTTTAATCTTATTTACTTCCAATTACAAGCGAAGTGAAATGCACTCATACTTATTCAGATTAGTTCTACTGGAGCCCCTTTATACCCAGAGTTAAGACATCCCAATTCTGATTGGGCTTCAAGTGGCCTGAAAAAAAATCCAATTCTGATTGGCTCTCGCTCATGGTGTTACAAAAGTGTGCACCACGATGGCGGTGGCTCGAATGTGAACAATAATATTGAAAACACAACCTAATTGTGATAATCAAGACTGGATTGTTATTTTGATCACACCAAAATGAAAATAGAGGGAACCGAACGGGTACCTAAGTTTGTAACTTATATCTTCATGATATATTGCAGCTGCATGTTATTTTGATGTTGTTGTTTTTGGATGACAGACATCGCATAGGATTCCTCATCCTTCAATATCGTTCGTTTGAGTGCACACTTTTGTAACACCACGGACAGCCCAGGCCAGCTGGCAATCGAGATGTCTTAACTCCGGGTAGAAAGGGACTCTACACTTTAAATTCTACGTATTCAGGCGGCGCCGCCGGCTTCTAGCAGGGCCTTCTTCCGTGCTACCTCTTCCTTCCAACCCAACAAATTCAAATCCTGAATGTACTTAGGCCAGAGTTCATAGGCGTAGTCCTCCGGTCCCAGGTTCTCAACCCCGGGGAGAGCAAGTTCTATATCCTTCGCTGATTTGTCTTTTGCCTTGAGCGTGAACCTCCCCGTCTTGAAGATCTTTGAAAGCATGTTGGCGTCTAGGGGCGCTCTCACCGGACACTTGCCGTTCACGCGGAAATGCATGACGCTCAACCAACTGCCTTTTCTCGAGCCCCCACCCAGAGAGAGGTACTCCACGTAGTGCTTCCCGTTGCACCGTGCCAGGTGGTAAGGCAGGGTCACCTGCGGCCGCGTTTCCACCATCAGCGCCGCCACCAGGCCTCCCACCTGAAATGAGGGCGCAATGGGTAAGTTGCGTTGGTCATGGAGCCCAGTTTTGATGCTTGATTCTTGTAAATTAGCTGGAAATAATAAGATCCGTCCAAATAGCAACTTTCTACGACCAATACTTACCGAGCTACCGCGCTTTGAACAATGGACCGCTGGACAAGGTACGAATTTAAGCATTCTAATACATGTTTCCGAACCAGAATTTCACGCGAAACACGATTTGCGCAACGAAAATTACTGAAATCAACTCCTAAGGAAGATATGAACGTTTTTATTTCACATTGGTTATGAGGAATTTGAAAGGCCCGCTCACAAGAAACTCAAAGCTCTACGTAAGTCAAATCGCGCACCACAACGGTTTCAACAAGCTTCTCAATCGAGCAACCGTTCATTTCCCACCATGTGTTGTTCAAACTATAAGCAATTTGCTATAACTGAGCCAAAGCGTCAAGATTGAGGTTCCCAGATTTTTTATCGCAAAAATGTTCATGATAACGTTTAGCGCGCGATGTGAATCACGTAGAGCATTAAGTTTTCATGAGCGGGTGGTTTCAATTCACGCACCCAGAATCATTAAATATCTTCGGAAGGAGTTGATTCCGGTAATTTCCATTGTGCGCATCGTGTTTTACGTGAAATTTTGGTCAAGGAACATGTATCAGAATGCTGAAATTCGTACCTTGTCTAGTGGTCCATTTGGACGTATTTATGATAAAAGGAACCATGTGGAAGTGGAAAGGTGGGGTGTGCTCGTGAAAGCCGCATAAGAGACAATGTAAAAGTGGATACAGTTCCTTTTGAGAAAATGGAAAAGCGGGATTTGACATTAAATCAAAAGGACTGAGCGCTAACTCGTGAGCCGTGGGCATGGGACAAGAGCGTTGACGACAGGGCTCATGAGTTAAAGACGAGCGAGCACGACAACGGAAACGGCTTCTTTGCCGCTGACGTCACCGGCGCTTTTAAAGTTCCATTCATTCTTATGGCCCGAGCACTAACGAGCACACCCCCACCCCATCTTTCCACTTGCACATAGTTCCATTTCGCATAAGTACGTCCATTTTAGATTAACAGGGCAATATTTTTGATCTAAAAACAATAAGCGAATTTTCGCGATCGAATATCATTCATCCAGTGAATTCATAAATGCTGAGTGATGCCGATGATTGGTGAAAGCAGGAGCCAATCAGAGCTCAGATTTTTTTTAAATGAAATTAAAGAAGAAAATAAAATAATACGAAACACTGAAATGCAGCAAATTGCAAACACAGCAGACTCGAATTGACAAAACACAACAACTGATAGAAGTGAAAAAACAAAAAATCTAGTGAAAGATGAAGTTTCTGACATCGATTGCATCAATTCAAAAATCGAATTCAAGTCCCGAGGTGAATTCGAAATTTCAAGTTGATGGATTTCACCGCGGTCTCCAGTGAGGCCAACGAAGAAGTCGAATATCATTTTAAAACAATGCACAATCGTCGGATATCATACAATGGTGAATGATATTCGATCGCAAAAATTCGCTTAGAGTAAATACAATTTTGCGGTCATTTTTTTACATCGATCTCACCGTGGGATTATTTTACTGCGCATTTCGCTTTTCATAGAGGCTATACTTATTGTGCACTAGGGTGTCCCTACCTTTCCTCGTTCCTTCCTTTTTCCTCTTTGCCTTCAGTACATTTAAATGTTAAAATTGTAAAAATTCTATGTTTTATGACGTGCTGAAAATTTCAGGAGAAATGTGCATTCAGGATCTTAAAATCACAATGTGCACTTTCTCTTTGGCTGCTGCTCCCTCTCTCCTGACTCTCACCCTTTCTCTTTTTCGTTTTTGACCCGAGTTTTTGACTGTGCCACCATCGAATGCTGCCACCGTGCCCATGCTACCGTGCTAAGGAAGAACGCCGTATGAACATTCGAGAGTTGCCAAATTTCCCTTCATAAAACATATATTTACGGCGACACTCATGCATATTTTTCCTTGAAATTTTCAGATATTTTAGATCAAATTGCGTGCAAAACTGTCTGAAAATTTTGGGGGAAAATATTCGCAATTTTTCTAATTAAGTCAGTTTTTATCGAAGAAAACTTGGCAACGTCCGATGGCTCATACGGCGTTTTTCCTTAGCACGGCAGCATGGCCTCTGCCCTTAATCTGCCACACTGGTTTGATGGGCGAGGCATGAATGATCGATTATCGATATCTCCCTATTTGAGGCTGTGGTGAAGAATCGAGTATCGAAGTGTTTGTTGCGAACATTCTCTTTATCGATCCTTTTCCGAAGGTTTAAATGGCAGATCGATCTACCTTTATGTCGAAGGCAAATAGTCAAATCCGACATTTTATCAACTGCCTAGGCAAATGGTCGAATATTCTTACTTAGATTGAAATTTTGATTTTCAACCCTAATTTCAGACGAAATAAATCGTTGTTCCTGTAAGAGAGAAGTCTCTGTTAAAATATGCAGCATAAAATAGTTCTTTAAACGATTTTAATGCACATTTCTCATGAAATTTTCAGCACGTCATAAAACATAGAATTTTTACCATTTTAACATTTAAATATACTGAAGGCATGTAAAAAGGGAGGAGCGAGGAAAGTTCGCGGTTTTGAAGAGTTATTCCTCCAGAAATTGAAAACCCGCGAACTACTCGCTATAAATTCACTGAATTCCTCAAACCGTCAAGACTACCACTTACCAGCCTAGGCACTCGATAAAATGCCTTCGACATATATATCGCAAAGCATGAGGCCACTGACTAGTATCTAGCGGACCGATTATTGAAATTGATAGGCAAATCTATAGACAAAGAAGACAAAGGGATTTGAGGGGATCCTGTTGATGAAAGCGGCTAGTTACAATGGACAAAAGAGGTAAGTACCTAACCCTGTAAAAAAAGTTTTTCCCCCTCGCAAAAAAAGTTTCTCCCCCCGTAATAAAGTTCCTTTCCTCACAAAAAAGCCCCCCCCCCCACGGTAAAAAATATTTCTCCCCGATGGGCTGATTGTTGAAACTAATAGACAAAAAAGACATGGGAAGTAAGTAAGGATCCTATTGGTTGAAATGGATGGTTCCTATAGACTAAGAGAGAAAATGATTGACTAACTATGTCGTCTCTCGTGGGTTGCCGCTAGTTAGTCTATTATCTACCTTCCTTGTCCATCGCAACCACCCGCTTCCACTAATATGATCTTTCCATTCCCTTTTGTCATCTTTGTCTATAGTTTTGTCTATCAATCTCAACAATCAGCCCGTAGGGCTACTGAAATGATGCCATAGTTAATATACTAACTAACGGTACCCACGAGAGACGCTATAGTTAGTCCATAATTTTCCCCGTCAGTCTATAGCAACCGCCCGTTTCAACCAGTAGGGTTGCTCTATGTTCCTTACGTCTTCTTTGTCTATCGCTTTACTCATCAATCCCAATAATCAGCCTGCTGGTATCCTGCGGGCTGATTATTGGGCTCGATGGACAAAGCGATAGACAAAAAAGACATATGGAGTTTGGAGCGATCCTATTGGTTGAAATGGGTGGTTCCTATAGACTAAGGGAGAAAATGATGGACTGAATATCGGGTTTCTCGTATGATGCCGTTAGTTTGTCTGTTACCTACTTCCTTTGTCCATTGCAGGCACCCGCTTCCACCAATAGGATCCCTCCATATCCCTTTTGTCTTCTTTGTCTATCGCTTTGCTTATCAATGTCAATAATGAGCCCGCTGGTATCCTGGTAGCAGACCCCTCTCAGATAAAATCAGATATCAAACTTACTATGTTCAAATGATTTTTCTTCTGCTTCCTGTTCATCATCTTCACGTCTTTCCATTCCGTCCGGATGTCAATGACTTTGGCCGTGCAGGTACCTCTCCTGAACTTGTGGAAGCCGGGAAAGAAATAGACGACTCTGTCAGCATCGATTGCGTACGTCCAGAGAAAGGGGCGAATGAGACTTTTAGGGTTCGGAACTAGAGATGTGACGACAGTGTCGCCGGCTTTCATCGGCAAATCTTTCCCGATGTTTTTTACGAATTCTCGATCGTCGCGTCTCTTCCACGGCCATTTCCCTTCCTTGATGTTCTGCAGCCAGCCTGGCAGCTCCGGCACCTTCCAATTCCTCCACCTCTTGGTAGATCCTGAGGGGCAGATTTTTTAAAGGACATTGTTATTTCCTTCTTCACGCGCGACTCCAGGACGTAGGGATCTAGACGCAAACCCAAGTAGCAGAGGTTGCAACAACTTGCAACAAAATCGTTTGATTCTTGCAACTAATAGATTGATGTACAGATTGCCTACTCTCTCCCCCGAAGGAGCTACCATTGTTAGAACTAGTTGCAATTAAGTTGAAACATGTTTCAACTTCAAAGTATTGCTGGTTGCCTATCTTTAGATTTTAAACAACTTCGGTTCAGCAATTTTGCAACCTTAGCAGGTTGCAACTTTGTCTTCCGATCAGATCGCTGAAAATCGGCACTTAACGACCAAAAGTTGACCAAACATTATTGTTTCAACATTGTTTCAACTTGTTACAACTTTTACATTGAAAAATGCTACTTGAGTGATATATTGACGTTGAGTTTAACAACATAGCTAAAATTCTGATTAAGTAGTATTTCATTCCGATAGTTCAGCGAATTATTATTTTTTTTCTCTCTCTCTCTCTCTTTGAAGAAAAAGGAAATGTAATCTTATCTCTGTAATGAGAATTTCAGAGATAAGATTATGAGAATTCATGAGAATTTCGCCGAAAATCGGCACTTATCGACCAAAAGTTGAAACTTTGTTGCAACTAATACCAACATTGTTTCAACTTGTTGCAACTTTTACATTGAAAAATGCTACTTGGGAAGTGGGTGCTCGCATCCCCCTTCTTATGACAGAGAACAATAGATTCTCCCAGCCAGCCAATGAGAGTCTTGGATTGTGGACTAGTCGCAAGTAGAGTCCCTTTATACTGAGAGTTAAGACAATGTGAGTCCATTTCTGATTGGTTCCCGTATTTTAGGCCTCCACAGTGTCACAAACGGGAATAAAGATTACATTTTCACCGATTGCAAAGATTATAAACTGGAATGGACCGGGGAGTTACGGGTTCGGCAAGGAACAAACGGAATGAGATGAGGAACGGTGAAAGGATTTTGAGAGTGAGCCGATCAAAGATTACGAGAAACTTTCAATTTGTGTAATCTTTATTCCCGTTTGTGACTCCATGAGGGGTGTTGTCTTGACTCTCAGCATAAAGGGACTCTAGGTGAGCGCAGCTTGCGCCTCGGCTAAAATCGTTATTTTTGAAGTAATATCTGCCGGGCTACAGGAAGCACGTAAAAGTATGTGAATTGGACGTATTTCTACCAAACAGACCTATGAGGAGGTGAGAAATATGGGGTGTGCTCGTCGAAGCTGCATAAAAAGCAATGTAAAAGTGGGCGTGATTCCTTTTGAAGAATTGGAAAAGCGGGATTTTACACTCTATCAAACAGACCTATGTGCCAACTGAATGCGAGATTCATGAGCCGCGAGCATGGCAAGATAGCGTTGTGGACAGGGCTCACGAGTTAAAGCGCCCCGACGACCATCTCCCCCTCGCTCGAGAGCGCACTATCATTGCCGCTGACGTCACTGGCGCTTTATTATTCCCATTCACTCTTGCGGCCAGAGAAATAACGAGCACACCCCATATTTCTCACCTCCACATAGGTCTTTTTGGTAGAAATACGTCCAATTTTCGCTTCTCAGAAGTACAGTTTTACCCAATGGACTCTGTAATATGAGGTTTCATACTCCGCAGGATTTATATATGACATTTTTGGCCGCGAAGAAACAGCAATATTTCGGAAAAGCTGATGAAACAGCTGGAAACTCAAATTCCCCTAACCCCCTCGCCTATGTATACGTTTGGCGGGTTGCATCTATCATCACCCTTATTCTCTATATTGATATACGTTAAATCATTTTTCCCTTCATTTATAATGCGATTCTATCATACAAATTTATTTAAACTCGCCCAGGAATTCAACTAAAAATTCCACGCTCGGTAAAAATCCACTTTCTCGAGAAAAAGCATACATTTTTTCAAAGTCCTCCCTTCGCGATCCCCTGTGTTACCTGCAGATTTGATCAGATAACCTGAGGCAGTGACCAGATATGAGTATGTGGTATTGATAAAACTTGGGCGCTTTCACAGGAATCGAACGTGGAACCTCCTGCACCCGCACGCCACAACCATTAGACGACAAGAGGTTAGGTTAGATTATTTCTGGCGTTTAAATCTTTTTAAGCAATACCGATTTAATTATTAGCCTTTGATACTCTGATCTTCTGCCACTAACTGGCAATACTTTCTCTACATAGATACTCTGTTATTAACCAGAGGCGGACTGGCACACTGGAAAAAAGACCACGAATACCGGCTTGGAGGGTTTTTCGCTGTGTGAAAGGGAGAGAACGGTCAAAATTTACCCTAAATATTGACCAGTCCTCCGGGGGTTTTCCTCGTAACTCCCGTGCGTTTCTGAAGACGTGAGAGAAGGGAAGGTGCCTTCAATTTTTGAATATGCAACACGCACATTCAAGATACTGAATAGTATATATATAATAAAAAACCGAGGCTTTTTCAAATCATTTATTATCATGAATTAGATGGTATAATAAAACATTATCTTTCTCTTTTCACATATTTTTATTTGATTTCTATCGTTTCTCAAGAATTTTTTAATTATTATTACACTAAACCTTTACATACACTTGAGTCAGTTAGTGTTCATAAAAAAAGAAGAATAATAATTCATAACTTTAGTCTCACACACGAGTGATCAGCTGGCACCGCTTATCTTATTCAAGAAGGAAGCAGCACTGTTGTTGGCTTTAGATGTGGTGGATTTCTCGACATTCATACTTTCTTTAAGACACAAATTATGATTCAAAATTTCTTGCAATGTTCTTGAAGATGTTATTAAAATGTAATAAGCACCAAACACAGCAAATAGACAGTGTCCTGCATCACCTAATTTTGCTGTCCTCGAAATTGTAAATTTCCACTTAGGACGCCACACAGTGGGTCGAGTCAATCAGAGACGTTGGACGTGAAATTTTTGACTAAAACTGCAAATTTTGACGTTTATTTCGTCTCATTTTAAATTTCAAGGGGTGCTTTTTGAAGACAATTTCACGAGGAAACCAATAAAACCACTTTTAGAACCTCAAAATTTTGTATAAAAAGAGTTATAAGCTTTTAAAGTTTCCCAGCCTGACCACCGCACAGCAGATCGAGTCAATTATCTAGAGCGGTCGGACATGAAATTTTTTACTATAGAACTGCAAATTTTTATGTTTATTTCATCAAATTTTACATTTGAAGGGTTGCTTTCAGCAGGAAATCTCACGAGGAAACCAATGGAACCACTTTTAGAACCTCAAAATTTTGTATAAACGGAGTTATAAGCTTTCAAAGTTTCCAAATTTTGTCCGACCTCTCCTATTGACTCGACACTGTGCCCCATTTTGCGTTACCGAATCGTATTTTACATTACATACCTAATAATAATTTTATTTCACTCACCGCCAGATGAAGCAGCCTCCGAGTCTGACCCCTCCTTCCCCGGACAGCGCACCAAACTCAAAAGGCTAACTAACACGAAAGCAATATACAGATGCCTCATCCCGTACCTGGACGATTTTTGAGCCTAATCATCGTGCGCGCGGAGATACATTTTTATACGAGCATCCTTTTTTGCAAGAGCTTGACGTAAATCCATGTTTGTCCTGTGCGCGCTGCAGAGTTGACAGCTAATCTGCGTGTTGCGCATTGTATTTCGAAGGCAAAATCCTGATATCTTCATACAGCTATGCCTCAAGATGGCCGCCCATACTAATGGATTTTTTTCTGAACTAGGTGTTTTGCACTCTGACTGGTACTAATCGACCAATTAGGAAGCTACGTCAAACGATGCAGATTTTCCACCTCCATCAAAAAAACATAACCTCAATCTTCCTTTTAAAGAGTCCGAGTTGTATAATTTCAGGAAAAATAGGATTTCAAATATGTACTTCGCGTAGTATTTCATAAAATCGTGTGGATGGGAAAATGAACATCTCCATTTACAGCTTCACTCCAAGATGGCCGCTTTTATTATTTATTTTAATATTTATTTTTTAATAATATTTAAATAACAGTCGTCAGAACGTGACATTTCTTGTCGGGTAGGTGCTTTGCATGCGCTGATTGGTACAAATACACAGAGTTCCCTGCGTCATTCGTTGCATTTGCAATCTTCTTTTTAAAAAAAAATACGACTTCGATCTCACTTCTGAGGTGCTCGGGTTGTAAAAGAGCTTGATGCAAAAACGGCTTTTTTCGCCCCCCCTCTGGAAGTTCTTCAGACTTTGTCTATTGATTACTCATACTTGAGCGCTTCTTTTCCCAAATTTTCAGACCCCCAAAAAATTTTGGGGGGGAGCTAGGGGGGGTGGAAGTCAAAACCTGTGAACCTCGATATCTCTTGAACAAAGAAAGATATCGAGGTCCGGTTTGGACGAAAAATCGTCTAAAATTGCATACTTTAAGATTCTAAAGGTCGAAATCCCGATGTCACATTTTTAAGTCAACATATGTGCTTTTTTCCAGTTTTTAGGTCTAGAAAATTTCTTTTGAACGAAAAATTTACAAAGATTTCAATTTTTTATTTGAACCAAAACCAGTTTTTTAAATTGTTCGTCTTTTTCCGCATCCAACGAGTGGTCCATTAAGCTGGGGAACCAAACGGTTCCGGAGTTATGATCGATTGAAGTTTCCGCTCAACGCGCGCCGACCGATTTTTGCGCGCAAAAAAGTCGGATTTGACTGTTATTAGATCAGATTGAATGTTCAAACTGAGCAAAATACTTTACTAGGGACTCTTGAGGGTCGCTGCGTTCAGAAATTACCGATACTTCCAAAAAATTCACGTTTTTAAAATTGCAGCTTCGGACAGGACCACTGAGCGGCCGGTCGGCGCTCAGTGGGCCTCTAAAATAGCGCTGCGGAGCTGTAATTTTAAAAACGTAAATTATTTGGAAGTATCGGTAATTTCTGAACTCAGGGACTCTCAAGAGTCCCTAATAAAGCATTTTGCTCAGTTTGAACATTCAATCTGATCTAATAACAGTCAAATCCGACTTTTTTGCGCGCAAAAATCGGTCGGCGCGCGTTGAGCGGAAACTTCAATCGATCATAACTCCGGAACCGTTTGGTTCCCCAGCTTAATGGACCACTCGTTGGATGCGGAAAAAGACGAACAATTTAAAAAACTGGTTTTGGTTCAAATAAAAAATTGAGATCTTTGTAAATTTTTCGTTCAAAAGAAATTTTCTAGACCTAAAAACTGGAAAAAAGCACATATGTTGACTTAAAAATGTGACATCGGGATTTCGACCTTTAGAATCTTAAAGTATGCAATTTTAGACGATTTTTCGTCCAAACCGGACCTCGATATCTTTCTTTGTTTAAGAGATATCGAGGTTCACAGGTTTTGACTTCCACCCCCCCTAGCTCCCCCCCAAAATTTTTTGGGGGTCTGAAAATTTGGGAAAAGAAGCGCTCAAGTATGAGTAATCAATAGACAAAGTCTGAAGAACTTCCAGAGGGGGGGCGAAAAAAGCCGTTTTTGCATCAAGCTCTTTCATGAAAAATAAAACCTCGAAGAACTAATACGGGATCTATTCCATGACTTAGTGTAGACAGGAGAATAAACTCTATCCCTATGCAATTGCACTATATCAGGAATGTTTAAGCATGTTGGGAGCGGTATTTAACATTTCTATAAAATAAGAGTCACCTTTATACCAGTGGCGTGGCGTGAATAATCGATTATCGATATCTCGCCATTTGAAGCTATGGTAAAGAATCGATTACTAAGGTATTCGCTGCGAACATCCTGATAATCGATCTTTTTACATAGGTTTAAATGGCATAACACTCAAAGTATCGCAATTCACGCCACGCCACTGCTTTATACCGTGCATTACATTTACAAATACCTACAAATTTATTTATTTATTTACCGTACGTACAAATTTAACTAAAATAAATGCAATGCACGGTACAAAGGTGACTCTCATTCTATAAATGTCAGGAATAGTTAAAAAAAATTGAGGTCTAATGAGTATTAGTGCAGGACCGAGGGGGGCGTGCTTTGGAATATATCGATTGATCTGCCATTTAAACCTATGAAAGAGGATCGATGGATAGGGCGCTCGCAGCGAACACCTTAATAATCGTTTTTTACCCTACTTTCAAATGGGGAAATATAAAAAATCGATCACTTACGCCACGCCACTGTAAGCTGGGTGACGAGTGTGGTGTACTGATGAGGTCCAAAAAGAACCCAATCGATTTAGATTCCTCGGCGAGAAGGAGAAGTCGTCGACCTATTCCCATCTTTTTTTTGCCCACCGGTAATTAGCTCAAGTTTAAGGGCGAGAGGAAGGGGGGAGGGATAAGTGAGATCATTTATATCCTAAAATCAAATTTGTATTTTTTTTAACGGAAAACTTTAAAATTGACCTTTTTCTTTTTGAAGCGTGCGATATTCTGAAAAATCTTTCCGCCCACTTTACAGTCCTCCTTACCAATGGCACGTGTACCGAATTTTGAGATTGTGCTTCATTGCTGTTGAGTATACCCGCCGTTTTTGTTTAAATTCGTCAAGATCGTCACCGTTATGAACGTCGCGCACTGCATTGGATATTGAAAAAGAAGGAGTTGGGGGAAATGCCGGATAAAAGAAGGGACCCGTAGTAAATTTTTAAGCCTGATGCTATACTTGGCCAGGAAAACAAACCCTCGATCTACAGCAGTCGAGTTGAATTTTTAGTTTTTTGGAGGTGAAATATTACAATTTTCGTTGAATTTCCTACACGCGCACACGCCGACCAGCGCAGCGCCCGTGCTGTTTGACGCAATGCATGAAGTATTCTTCACTCTTGTAGGCGCTGATTTGCTTCTCGTGCCGACCAGCGACCGCACTGTTTTTAATGCAATGCGTGAAGTATTCCTGCAGTCTTGTAGGCGCCCGGAAGCGGCGCACTATGTTTGGCCATATAAGAAACGATGATACATACAGATTTGATTTGGAAGAAACTGTTGGAACAGAGGAGAGATAATACGTTTGAAGAATGGCTGGGTAAAACGGTTCATGCAGAGTGCAGACAAAAATATTCGAATGAAGAGTCCATCGAAAATTAAATAAAAATAAGAAGCAAAAGCTGATGCGAGTAAATTTTTCCCCGTGAAAAAGAGTCTTATATCGGATGAAAATTTTGACGTAAAGAGACCGTGTTCATTTTGCCGGTAAAGAATTGCACTGAAGAGTTTGAAAAGGAAATGCGAGCAGATTAGTAGAAACTTGTGAATAAGGTCTCTCCTGAGATGTATAACTACATTTCTTTAAAAAAAACAACGGAAAATCTTGAGGTGGAATACGTTAAAAATAGGTGCAAACACGAGTTGTAAATAGCTTTGATCTCATCGCTGACGCAGCAACGCACCATTCAGAATGCATTGATAGGTTGTATCATGGTTTTTATTCTGATTTGCCGCATACTGAAACGGATAGTGTAAATTTGAATGAAGGATTGCCTTCATTTGAATGTGCCTACGCGCCTGTACTCCAAGCCCCTCAACTAAGATTTTACATTTTTTAGTGATTTTTTTTATCGCTCTTTTCCCCCTTTTATTTTTTCCCCCTCTTTTTCCTCTTCTAGTTTTTCTCCTCTCTTTTAACGCTATGGTAATAATAGCACCTGAAGCAGCCATTCCTCATGTACCACCTATTTCCCCCTCTGTAATTTTTACTCTTTGTTGGAAATAAAAATCCTGTGAAAATTTCCAGCGATAAAGTAGCCCGTTCCCTTTCGCTTGAATACAACAAAAGGGACAGTTTTGTGACATTTTGAGGGAGGTATGTGGTCTACGAATTCAGGCACTGACAGCACTGACATGCATTTTGGTGCTAAAGTCTTCATTGATTTATTTTGCCACAACCTTTTGAAGGTTAGCAAATGATGTAAATGGCGATGGCATCACTCGTGGGCAACTCCTTCATCATCATGGTAATTGCAGATTTCCGTTTTCAACGAACTATACTTCAGTTTTAGGTGGTGGTAGCCACTCACGGTCCTCTCCTCGAAGAAAAAATACACCTTGAAATGAGACCGACGCACAGCGGATCGAGTCAATTAGAGAGGTCGGACATGAAATTATTGAATAAATCTGCAAATTTTGATATTTATTTCGTCACATTTTGAATTTCAAGGGGTACTTATTGTAGAAAATTCCGCGAGGAAACCAATGGAACCACTATTAGAACCTCAAAGTTTTGTATAAACGGAGTTATAAGGAATTTGCAATTTTAAAAATAATTTCCATAGAAAATTTTGTGAGAAACCCAATGGTGCCCTTGGTTCTCTTTGAAATCAACTCCAAAGCTCCAAAAAAACTCTCACAGTTTGATGACGTAATAACGAGGGGATAATCCACGCTACCCTGAGCGTCCACCTCTATACCATGACAAACTCTCTATGCAAAGAAAGGGAGTAAATACATTAGCAGGGTTTCCACTTTGTCAGCGGACTCTAAAACTGAAAACACGGCGACACCAAGTATTTCCATTGAGGGGTTTCAAAATTTCAGCCTCTAGTTTATTTTTTCGAAGACAACAAGTCAGCTTCACGTCT